ACTAGACCTATGTGTGCGTGTGTATATGTGTGTGTGTGTGTGTTCCATCTGGCGCCCCCTGCCTACATCAGAACATGCACCGTCATGTCTCGGACATGAGAGAGGCCAATCCACACCAAGCACACACTCACAAGTACGTGTAACGCAAAAAAGACAAGAGGAAGAACAAGGCTTCCTCGCAATAAAGTTTCCGATGCCCAGCGTTGGGGGCGGTCAAGTTCCTGGAGCACGGCATGGATGGTGGCCCTACACATACGAGAAAGGGAAGTAAGCAGAGATCAGCCTTTGCCCTTCGGTGATGCAACGTGATGAAATTAACGATATCCACGGACAGCTCAAAGACCGCGAGATGACCAGGGGACGGAAGCGTGAGGACGACGAGCTTCGCCCAGTCCATCCCGAAGATAAGAAAGTGAGTGGAGGTAATGTTTTGAGGAATCCCCCACAGCTGAGAAGAGAATGATGCCGAATCGTAATACCTTCCCAGTTCCGGTCAACTTGGTTGGAAACTAAGTATGTGATAGGCTCTAGAAATGGCATCAAGAAACCCGAGACAAGCTTAGAAAAGTTGGGAAACATAAAAGAGCAGGAAGGATTCCGGGATACGACACCGGAGAGAAACGGGAATCCATCAGTCCCTTCCCATTCGTCACGTTTCTCTCAACTAGCTGTCTCGCAACCGGAGCTGACGCATGTCATCCCGCAGCGGCACCGAAGAAGCTTGACCGCTTTCCCATCTTACCTGCTCTCTTACATGGCTGGTAAGGCTTGGATTGAGGAAAGATGAGAAGGGGGGAGCGGACTGTACGCCTTGATTCTGATGAGAACTGTGTATCATTGTGATAGCAAAAGAGACACAGAGGGAGTAGAGGCAGGGGGGGGGGGGCAATAACACGGGAAACAAAACACGGCCATGCTCCCCCAGAGAGAAGATGAACAACCAGCATCCATGGGGTTCTTCCCAAACTCTGCCCCAGTTCGCCGGAACCACGAACTGGCTGACACAGACTGGGCTGGCCTGACCCGAACATGACTGGCTCCCATCTCCACGGGTTCGAAGAAAACGAAACCTAACAAGGGGAGAGCGGGAAGACGGGAATCTAGCGGGATCCGTCGAAGAACCCGTTTGAAACATTCAAAGCCGTGACAGGTACTAAGAAAAGACAGGAAAAGAAGAAAGGGAGGCCTTGTTAGTCGTGGTCCGTTCTCTCTCTCTCCGTAGTTTGGGTCTCGGGAAGATATCACCACATCACTGGGGGGGTGTCTTCTTGCCTCTATGATCCTTGAAAAAGGGCGTGGGAAGTTTTGTAAGCCAAGTAACATAACAAGGAACCAGAGATGAAGAAACCACGGTCTCTCTCGGATGCAATTTGGATCCAAAAGATAGCATGTAATCAGGTTCGGTCTCGTTTCCGCTGCTCATTCGCGGGGTACCACAACGATGGGATTCGAGGTTCATGTTCCAAGGCCTAGAGGTCCAAAGGAAAAAATAGAAAGAAAGAGGGGATGAAAACCAAGAAAAGAGGTCAACCCGGGGAGGCAGCCCAAGTGCCTTGAGACACAGAGACAGCAAGAAGAGAAAGGGAAGAAACAGAGTTGACAGCAAAAAAAAGAACTCTAGTCAGCAACAACGCCCCCTCAATCCCAACTCTTGATTCGTTCAAATACAAAGTGCGTGAGACATTGGCTGCTGTCCTCGTTCGTTCGTCTCTTACTTTTCCCATATTCGTGTCAGAACCTGTACGCCTCGGGGGAATGGGCTGAGCGCAGGCGCGCGGGCGGCGGGGCGTGTGTAAGCCCTGGTACCTAAGCACCAGCCAAAGTGTACGTATGCGTATGTGTGCGTGCGTGTGTATGAGTGCAGGCTTGCAGGACTGGACATACAGTTTCTGCGTGTTCGTCCAATTGCAAAGAACGCTGCAAGGCAGTGGGCACGACCATGTTTACCTTTTGACTTACATGGCTGTTGCTGCTCCTGCTGCTGGAGGGTGAGGACGGGCAGTCATACATACACACACAAGAACCAAAGACACACATGCAACTAGAGAGACGCACACACAGGGAGTGCTTGTATTCGATGCGTTATGATTCTTGATAAGCAAGACAGCCAAATAAACAAATTCGATAGCCCGTGGGCTACGGACACTTTCGGACTTAGGAGGGGGGTCTGCGTCCAAGATACAATCAACGGCTTGATGGACTTTCGGTAATGTCCAGATCGGATAGATCACAACATTCTCGGGGCTTTGATAAGAGTGCTGGATGAGTATTGTGGTATCCGGGCTCTAGAGTTGACCCGTTTCCCGTCTCGAATAGAAGTAGCGGCTTTCTTACATGCTAATTTAATAGAGAACGTGAGTAACATGCCAACTCTGACAGAATCTTAGTCCTAGAGCTCCATGTAGAGCAATGACGGCATAGTAACTAATCAAGGGATCTTGTTCGTGATGATAGACCCAAATACTAAGCAGCCAGGGCACGTTGTGTCTTCACATGTACATCGTAAATTTACGAACCTTTGAGGAAGAAGTTTGAGCAATCCCAGTCCCCCGGGACTCGATAAACCTCCAACGGTCAAGACAAGTCAAGAGAGGAAGAGACTCCCAGCGCAAGATCTCCTGATCCTCAAACGAGATCTTCTGAATGTCCCGAGAACTTGAGATCGAAACAAACGAGACGAAAGAAAAAGCTCAAAAGCACACATAACTCTAGAGACTCAACAGCAAGCGGTCAGCATCATTCAACCGAGATGTGTCCCCCGAGCCGAGCGGCATAGGAGTAAACCGCAGGCTTGGAGCCGGGAGAAACGCCGTTCTCGTCCGTTCGTCCCATGCCCTTTCCCGACGTAGGGCAGAAACTGGGAAGAAAAGAGAGGCCCCCCGTACCAAGCGGCGCCCCGGCACCACGGGAACTTGGATAAAGTTGGATCTGGCAGGAGCCAAGATGCGTCCTGCAGAAGGAGGGGCGTGTGAGATCCACGAAAAGCAGGTTGTTATTCGTCTTATTCCGTGGCCCTGGGGGGTATAACGATAAGTTTCTTGTCTGGAGAGTCAAAAGTCCATACAGAGCTAGGGACAGGATGTAAGTATGCATATGGAAGCCATGGCCAGGAAAGAGAGAGGAAGTCCTGCACGCCCGATGTTCGGACAAGCATGCGCCAGCCAAGAACCGAAGTTCGGGTGGTCAGACAGGAATAAGACGCCCGATTTCAAGATTGTGTGGGTAGTTGTGAGAATATGCCCGTTGATGGGGCTGAAAGCTTATGCCTGGAGTTGAGTCGCTGGTGGACAGCGAAAACAAGCCATGCTCATGTCCTCATTGGACCGAATGCGCTTCCTGGGTCAGGCCCTCTGAGACATGGGGAACACAGTCAGAAGCAGAAAATAAGGTAGAAGATTACTCCTTGAGAGACTGTATGGCGGTTCCACTAACAAGGGGCGGACAGATAAGGCTGATGAAGAAGCTGCTGGACAACGTAGCATCGCCAGACAACTGCAACCTAGAGGCGCAGGCCTTCTTCCAAACTGAGCCTCGGCAGAACAAAAGGAATATGCAGCCACGTCTATCATTTTCGTGTAATAGTCCACTCGGATCGATCGGTTGACATACTAGAGGAAAGCCCCGAAGGCCACAGATTTGGCCTCTCGGGTATGGCGCCAGCTTGGGTCGTTATCAAGTTGCTTTGCCAGATGTGCCTAGCTTTTGGCTTTTTCCACAAAGATGGCCTGATTGTCAGATGTCAGGTAAGCAAACAGCTGGAAACCCGTAGTTTGAAGTGATTGGATAAGAGATGAGAGTAGTTGAAGTTGCCTAAACCGCCAACCTACTGCTTCTAGAAAAGCAGTCTTGGACCAGAAGTCCATGTCTCGAAATGTCCGTAGGAATATGAGAAAGGCCAAAGACTTGTATCCTGGAGAAACGAGATCAAATAGATGATCTGCGAGTTCACCTTCCGAGGCAAGCCAGTTCGAGCCCTAGAAATACATCTGAGGTTAACAATATTCCCCGAAGAACGCAGCACCTAGTGTCAGTGTCTAATTACTAGAACCCGTTGTCAAGAAAAATCTCACCAGATCTCGACGTCTACTTAGTGGGAGCTGCTTACAAACACTGGTTCGCGCTGCCACAGCAAGGATAGAGCAGGTCTCAAGCTCGACCGAGTCCAAGCTTGTTCGCGTACAACGAGTTCCAGGGGCTTCTATTTCGAGAGGTATGCTAACCGCGGAAGGATTCGATCGCAGGACTGAGGTGTTCCTCCGGGAGGATTACGAGGAAGGTGTCTCGACTAGCCCGGGAGCACGTCCGGGCCATAGGCTTGCAGAATAGCCGAGCGACCGTAAGGAAGACACTTCGAGGCGGGGGACGTTCTGGAAAATGATCGGTGCTGCGGATGGGAGTGTGCATGTAGGACAGAAGAGTGTCCACCGTATTGATGAATGTCTAGTGCCACGGAATTCAGAGGACAAGCGGTTGGTGGTAGAGACGACCCTACTCCCTGTCAGAACCATTAGTCGGTATGAACAAGAAAAGTGAATATCGATAACCTCAAAGTGCCTTAGAGGCACCCCTCTGGCCTGAAAGATCTTCAGAGAGTGTGTTCATGGTAATACAGAAGCGTCATCGTTTTTTGAAATACGACGGAGAGATTTGCAACCTGGCAGGTCCGAATCGTCAGCAAGAGTATGGGATGGTCGTATGTACCTGGTTAATGATTCCTATGATATGCAGGCTTCGGTAGTTCAAGGGAGCAGCACCGGGTCAGCTAGGCGTGGTTTATCAGCATCACCACTACACATTTGCAAAACTGCAGTAGTTCTGCAATCAAAACAGCGATCAAATTGGCAAGAGCCCCCGTCGAGGTTAGACGCGCTAGAGGGATGAAGCAAGGCACGCCATGCAGGCGTGGTCGGACGTCCGATAGCACAGCCGCACTGGATTTGTGAGTGGGGTTTTTTTTGGACTGCCCTTCCTCCTCCCCGCCTTGGATACCGGCCGGAGCCTCAGGTAAACTTGCGCGCTTCTTGGGCCCACCAAGGCAAGTCGGACGGGCGAGCGGCTGCATTCCATGGGCCCATTGTTGATGGTTTGACGCAGGCAAAGCTTGCAGCGTTCGCCGTGGAAGCCGGCGCAAAGCTGCACTTGGATTCCGGCACGGAAGCACCATCTTGGGCCAAATTCGGCGTTGAGGAGCATTCCAGACCGGAACGTCGGTACTCCAAGCAGGAATAATCGTTTGGGCTGCCGTACTCGGACTTGGAGACGAAGCAGAGTTGCATAGTGTTCCACCTGGACCGTTTGGGCACCGTTGGCCAACAATGGTGTCCGGATGCACGGAGAGAGATGACTCGTTATTGGCAGGAGGCCCAAGGCTGTGGCTCATGGCGGCACCTTGTTGCAGAGCTTCCCGGTCGAGATAGAAATGACGTTGATGTGTCTCACATACTGCCATCCATACTTTGGGACTTGGGAGAGTTGCGAGGTAGCACAGAGAGGGCGTTCGACCATACCAAGGCAATAGGCCTGTTGTGGTAAATGCGATCGACCAACACCATTGCTGTTGGGCTCATGCATAGCTCCAGGAGGCTGGCTGAAGGGATAGAGCCGGCATGAAACGACAAGCCGCGGCGCCGATTCCGGTCGTTTGCCCTCCGGACAGATGTATAGCGCCTTGCGGTAAACCAGGACCAACACCTAGCCGGGTGCAGATTGCTCTCGGAGTTGAGTAATGGTGGAGGGTACTCCGGCACTGGGCAGAGAATACATCCCGTCGAAGGTCTTAGTAGCCAAGCCATCAAATCTATTTCCGTGAGGGAGTACGGATAGGATTTACGATGCCCGTTTGTCTCCTGCTAGTGATTAGTCGCGTTTCGTTTCCTTTTCTTCTATTGGGGAGGGGACCGTTGGAGATCAGCATGCCGCTAGGCACGAAGACAAGCATCGCAGGCTAAGGCCGTGTCAAGCAAGGTAAGCTGTTCCCCGAAAGGTAAAGTGCGAGATGGAAAAGGGGAAGGGCGTGAAGCGGGGTGTGAAATCTGGCGATGTGCTGCGATGACAGGATTCGACCCCCGCGTGTCCGGCTTCGTCAAGTGAAGCCAAAGTGAGTGAGTGATTTCGAGATAAGGAGGCTCAGTCCCGATGCGGTGAGATGAGTTGTTGGACAGAGTGAGTTAACACGTCCAGTGTAGGTGAGCGCCGGCCAGGAAAGGATTGTCCTTGTCTCCGAGAGCCTGGGCTTGGTGAGCCCTCCCCCACCATCTCTTCCTCCCCTCCTTCCCTCCGTAATTTGGGTTTTGGGCGCCGGAAGGATGCGACAGTGCCCTGGGCTCGTACAACATAAGGTATCTTAGGCGCTGTGAGTCGATAAAAGCCACATCGTGTGTTGTGTACTAGTATCCATTGCTACCACTGTACTCTGTACTGCCCCATGAAGGAATCCCTTGTCGCTGGTGGCAACGGGGATAGCATAGACAGCGGGCCGCCCTCGGATAAAGCTGGCTGCTAAGGTTCGGTGGTGAAGCAGTGGTCTTAGTGGAGGATTTGCAGTAGAAGGGCGAAAGGCACCTAAGAAGAGCCTGTGGCCAGTTACTGAGGTTTGGATTAGTGGTCAGAACTTCCATTCTAGGGTGCCATTTGAGCTGCGCGGACTCACCGGCGATTTTGTGATTGGTTCACCTACGACTTGACATCCGCTAGAGCATCCCACCACATCTCCATTGTCGTCCTTGTTTTCACCTTGCCCGTAGACAAACAAGACGACAGCTCGCACCTTGTGGAAAGCATCACGAAGGTCTATTTCGAACAATGTCCTTGTTCTAACCATATCCTGTGCCGTGCAATGTGGGATCCCGAAGGCCTGGGCAATTCAAGACAGCAGTTGCAATGCGAATCGACGAACAATATCCCATGGCGGCCCGTCCATCATCGCAATCAATACCAGGAAGAGAACGAGAAGGTCTGCTTGTTTCTCGTGTGCATACAATTCTACCTGATATTGCTGCATCTGCAAGTCATCCATTTCTAGCTTGCCGTCAAGATGGATGATTTTGAGACTCGGGCATTCGGTGGCCGCCCAATGCTCCGTCCGCACAATGTATGACTGTCGCCTAGGCATCGGATCCTCATTAGATAGCTACATGAGGATCTTCGCAGATGGTTTCCTCCCGGCAGAACGTCGTCGAGATCCGTCTCAAATACGGGCTTCTGCAAAGTACCACTATCGCCTCAGATATCAGTCGAACATGGTCTTCGTCGACCATGGGGCGCCGACCAACGTTGGGTCTGGGTGGCCTGAAGAGGCTTAACGCGGTAGCCCAGTTGAGCTTGGCTGTGCGCCACCAAGCCCGTCCGTCCATGCTGCTCAAGACGGCCGACTTTCAGGCGAGCGATGCACCGACTAGACGTATCTCGTCCATACCCAACCGCTTATCTGGCAGCAGCACGATATGGACGGTGGACCAGGTTACTGACTGACCGCGACTGGGGCACAACCTGCTCCGAGACGCCGCATCCAAGAGTGTCTCTCGTTTGCCCGGCTGCCCACTGCGGCGGAACAGAGGCAGGCGCTAGGTATTGGGATGAATGACCAGATAAGGCATGCATTCCACATATGTGCCGCGTTGAACGTCTTTGCGAGGAATATGGCGTACGGGCCGACTAGGACCACGCCCTTTCCATCCTCCACGGTGGCCAAGGCCCACGCCCCTCTCATCACAGCGATGCTGGAGTTCACAAGCCAAGACAGCAGGGAAGCATGGTATTCTGGAAACTGAAGCTTGTCAGAGTCAGCCTGAAGAGGCAGGCAATGAGCCGTTGCAAGTACCGGCCAATCTCAAAGCCTGCAAACGTTGAATGAAGGAAGATAAGGTAGCGAGAGCGAATTTGGGATTGCATATCAAATCGAAAAATGTCCTGTGCTAAGCCATGCAGTGTAGCACCGTATACCGTACTTCGCATTCTGGGGCGATTTATCATTGTGCTGCGGTTGTCGTTCTGGTCGTCAGCCTGATATTGCCTAGGATGTGTGTAAGTTGCCTGGACCGGATCCTGAGCAAACATAAATGATGAAAGACATGATCGGATTTGGTTTGGCCGTTGTCCGTCGGACCGTTGATTCGGAAACCACTTGTGGCTTCCAGGTTATTCTGGAAAAAGGAAGAAATGTGTCGGTGCTGAGAGCCGGGAGAGTCGATTAAGGTGCTTGTGAAAGAAGCATCTGAATTCCAGCACAGCTGAGCAAAGGGCCCAAGACAGAGGAAAGTAAGGTGAGGCATGGAGCGAGTGCGTGGATGCGTACGAGTGTGTCGGTCTGTTCTATCACTGTCCGTCTTTGCCATCCGAGTGTTTCCAAACGGCATGTGCCATGTATCGGATGAAAGCGATGTCCTCTAGGACGTGTGGCACCGTGCTGACGCAGGCTGTTTTGCCAGAGGTGCTTGTGTTTGGTAATCGAATGTTTGGAATACAGACACAGAGGGCATGGAGTAGAGACGAAGCCGATTGGAGTGGCGCTTGAGTAGTACGAGTGGAGACGTTTGTTCAAACTCCAGAGCGCGTTCCTGTTCCTGCCGCCGCCGTCGCCGCGCTTGTGCTTCTGCGAGAGGCTCCGCGAGAGCTTCCGCCAGGGCGTACAGTGAGTGCATGGAGGTAGTGGTGTAGGTGATTAGGTGCAGCGTGCGCGCGCGCGCGCGTGTCCGGTGGAACGGTGGAAGTCGACTATGCCCACAATAGACGATGGCCTGTTCGACGGTCGAGGTCGAAGCACGGCATCCGGGAAGAAAGTGGAGATTTGGCTCGAGAGACGGCCCATGGCACGGCGTGGCAAGGGAGCTGGCAGATGGAGTCAAGGAGATGATCTGCAGTCCCCTCTCACTAAGAAGAGGTCGAGGCTCTGAACCGGCTCCAGAGAATAGGAATAAGCGTAAGGGGAAACGACGCCGAATGGGACCCCTTGCCTCGACGCCTTACTAGAAGAGGCAAGGCTGCGGAAGGGGATGCGAGCCCCGAGAGACAAGGCCACGAGTGCCACGCTTGCCCTGACCAAGGTTCGCCGTGTGGCCGTGTACGTACCGGAACCAGGTTCACGAAGTGGAAGGGAAGAACGATAGACCTGGCGACAATAGAAAAGGGATCTTCCCGGAACATCCATGGCCCGTACCGCACCGTCCGCACATTTTTTGCCTTCCAACTCCAACCCTACCTACTGGCTGTATCCGGAGTTCCCAGGTACGAAGTAAGGTACTGCCAAAGGTACATTGACCGTGTACTGAGGTACGTGTTGCTGACCGACCATCATCGAGAGGCGATGATTGACCTGCCCATAGGAGGTGAATGGACTTGTGTTTGGGGACCTGCGTTGGCCTCGTTTCTTTTGGGAACGGTACAGTCCAGTATCAGTGACCGTTTCCCTGGATAAAGACCGGCTGAACAGTCTATGCTTTCCCAGATGCAGCTAAAGAATGGAGAAACAAGCTTCCCATAACGATACCTTCCTCGGTACCGGGCGCTGTAACTTGCATATCCACTATGGATAGGGATATGGATGTCGATGTAGGGATAGGTACACTACGGGAGTACCTTACTCGGACGGGCGTGGTAGGTATCGAGAATATCCGCTTTCCTGCTGAGGTAGGTAAGTCAAGAGACAGCTATTCTGGGTACCACAGTTTTCAGGTGAAGGGGCGGTACGTTCCTCTCCTGTCCTGACATGAGCATGATGAGGTGGACGGGAATAGCACTGGGTGGATTGGTAGGAGGTGGGCGGTGTTCAGGTGCCACGGTGCGTGGGCAGGAAAAGAGAGGAAGGCGTTTGACGACAACACCCTCACTTTGCAAGTTGTGCCCACTTTGATCGGTACGTGCCCACCTGTTGGCCCTACCGGACGTGGGGTGAGGTGAGGTGAGATCGAAAAGTGGTGCTCTTCCCCCTTGCCCATTTACTTGCCGGGGCCCGAGACCCCACTCTTGCACCAAAAGGGGCAACAGTGGGCAATGGAAGAAGGAAGCGATCCACCTTGCTTACCTATCCGAGCTTGGTACGTATCGGAATCAGGAACGTATCTTTTCAATCGATGAAGGAAGGAACATGGAGTGCGGTGGTGGGCGTCGTCCAACTTCCTTGAGAGCCGCAAGCCACAAGCCGCAAGCCGCAGCCCACCACTTGCCCGCATCCCGTCCGCCGCCGTTCTCCCCCACCACCGTCAAGTCCGACGACGTCAGCCAGGGCAGGGCAGTTGTGTCTTTTTCTCCGAACTTCACCCAGCAACGTCTCGCATCCTTC